GTGCACTATGAGTCATTCTGCACCTTCCTGTGCTCCCAGGAGGCAACTCCCAGATGCTTGGGGAATTCTCCACCCCACCCCACCCCCAGAGCTCCAACTCTACATGAGCTACCTGAGCTCAAATCCTGCCTCCAAGGAAGCTCAAACTAAAACCTGAGTTTTCTAAGTGATACTGGTAGGACAACAGCTCACCTCCCACCCACGTCTGGGTCTCCACCACCAGCTCCCTCCCGTGTTCCATGACCTGGCCATTCCCTTCCAGCTCAGGTGCCTCATCACCCCTGGAGGACCTTCAGGCTATGTGCCTCAGTATAAGAGCAGGGTGGGCTAAGTGTCAGATGTGTCCACCTGCTGTGTCTGGGAACACCGTGACCAGCACAGCACAACTGGCAGACATCCTGACTTTGCACCTGCAGCCATCCAGGTACATTTTTGTGCCTCTGGTGGTACTTTTCCTCATGCTTTTCAAAAGCAGCTTTGTGCTCTCACATTGCACTGGGCCCAGTGCACACACTGAAGACATGCTGGCTCTGCCCTCTTCCCATCCTTTACATCATCGCTGATGGGAAGCTCAGGAGTTGAGATGTTACGTGTCGTGTGAGATACTACCAGGGAGACACTCGAAGGAGGAGACACCTACTTTCCCCCCTTCCTTCCCAGGAGAGAGTAATACAGCAGGCAGGGAAGTGAAGGGCTATTCCTGCCTTTTTCCTTCTGTCTGAGGACAATACGGGTGACAAAGGAGTCTTTAATCTCTGCCAGGCCTTTGAGGATGTGATGGGCTTGTTTGTGAGGGCGAGGGTAGCATCTGTATGGGAAGCAGCTTTGGCCTGGAAATCGACAGGTCAGTGCCACGCAGCTGCTGCGGGGGCCAGGCCACTTGGCCCACCCCAAGTCTAGGATGAAGGGCAGAGGTCAAGGGACATGGGAACTCCTTCTGCCATCCAGCCTGGCTCACCACAGCACAGGAGGGCTGGAGAAATAGCTCAGTAGAATAAGTGCTTGCCTGGCAAGCACTGGGTCCTGAGTTCAATCCCTGGTAAGAGAAAACAAACTGCCAAACCACAGCATAGGAAACAGGGCTTCATAATTCTGATTTCTTTCTTAGTCCTGGAAAGAACACTTAGGTACATCTACAGAGTGGTCATGCAGGCAGAGCTAAGAGGGAATCTATGTGTGACCCCGAAGTGGCCACAGTGCTGGTGGAAGACCTGAGATGGGATGGACAAGAGGAAGAGGCACCAAACAGACAAAAAGGATTTAAAAAAAAGGCCAGGCATGGTGGTGCAGGCCTGTCATCCCAGCACTCAGGAGGCTAAGGAAGCCGCAGCCACAATAGCGACATCTGGGCTCGAGGAAGGCAGCACTGTGGGGAAGGCCCGGACCTGTTCTTGCCCTCAAACCTGCAGGGTTATCATTCTCCAGGAGGCCCACCTGCCTGCAGCCCTTCTTTGCAGAACACAGCCTGGGGAAGTACAGGTGTGGCCCGGGAAGGGGGCATCCAGATGCTCTTCCTCCGTTCCACAGTGCCCACCACGTGCCACATCAGGTCCTGAGCAACAGGACCCTGTACCAGGTCACACTGTGGGCCCAGGGGCCAAGCCTCTAGCAAATACTAACAGACTCTTCTTGCTACAGCTCCTATTTGCTAGGCATTTCATCAGATTTTCCCAGAGGGAAGAGCAGGTGCTGCACCCACAGGGGCCGGAGAGGAGGAAAGCCAGCCCCAGGCTCAGTGTGAGGCCACTCAGGTGACATCCTCCGCACTCAGCCCACTGGCTCCCCCCCACCCCCCGCCGGCTGCCCACGGGGTCTGCCTCCTAGCCATGCACTCCCCCACTGCTACACACTGGCTCGCCCACCATAGCAGTCCTCATCCTTCCACCTAGGGAAGGGCACACTCCTGCCCTGTTACAGGAGCCCCTCTGGCTCCTCCCATTTCCTCCCCCTCCCCCTCCCGTGAGGGGTGTCTCAGCAGCTCAGGCACTGGGTAGAGGAATAAAGTGCTGCGGCCCTTTGGGTTCAAGCCAACAACATTCTCATCTCAGAAACAGTAAAAGGTAAGCAATTAAGTCTAACAAAACTACTAAAGCTGTCTAGTATTCCACATTGTATTTCCTCTAAACAAGTTGGGCTCTGGCAAAAGGTGGAACTGCTCCCAGGATGGATGATGGCAGCGAGGCTGTGTCCCTGGGTCCTGGGTCCAGCATCTCTGGTCTCCTGGCTAGGAAGTCCCAGAATCTGTGGGGTATCTGACCCAACTTCATGACCCTTTCACACCAGCAGGAGGCCACCGGCTATTCCAGGGCTTGGCTCAGGGCCCCGGCTCTCCCTCTGCACCTCTGCACCTCTGCACCCAGGCAGGCATGTCTGCCATGCCTCTCATCCATGACACTGGGCTGGGACCACAGCTGCTGAAGGGAAGGCAAATATCTCCGCCTGCAGGCTGCACAGCCACTCTATGCCCCCTCCTCAGGTGCTGCTGGGTGGTACAACTTGACCTAGAAGCCTCTGTTCTCCAGCCTGCCTGGCGTGTTCCTGCCACTGCACCCGGACCCTCTTCAGGCATCTTATGACAATGCAATGCTTCAGTATTCCTCAAAGATATCTCCACCACCACCGCAGACAGAGAGGGGTCAGACTTGGGCTGATCATGGAGACTTTCGAGCTTAGCTCTTACTCCTCATTGACCCCAGCAGGCAAGTCTTCTTTCAGAGAACTTTCAAAGAAAAACAATCCTTGCTAGATGAAAGCACCCAGCCCATGATAGCATGCAGGGCCACCACACTGGCAGAGAGTAAGGCCAATCTCCCTCCCTTCCTTCCCTCCTTCCCAAAAGCCCAGCCTAAGCCTCACCCGCCCTCTTTCAGGACTGACAGTGGGCATCCACCTGGCTCAGCTGCACTTGGGTTGTACTGGAGTTATACCTCGTCATTACACATCTGCCTATCCCAACCCATCCCATTCTGACCTTCCTCATGTCAGGGCAGTGTCCTCCAGCCTCTTACAGTGTCCTCTCAGTTTTCAGAGCACAGGCCCTCGAGTCAGTACCAAGGATAGTCTATTTTGAAACAGGTCTGTGATATCAAGTTACCCACTCAAAGATAAAACCCAGCCACATTCACACAGTTGCCACACACACCCTACCTCTGGTAGGGCACCTGGTCCCAGCCAAATCTGCTGAGCCCCAGAGGGCAAACAGCAAAGCTCCCCCCACCCTCCCCTGTTCTCCCCCAGCCAGGGCCATCTTGGTAAAGAGTAACAGCCACTTCAGCTTAATCCTTTCTGCAGAAGGCACTATGAGCAAGAAGGTCACAGCACCACCACGAGCTGCTGCTACATGATAGGCTCTGACCCTAGTACAAATGGCTGAATCATCATGGTGGTCATCTAACATGGCTGAAGCACTTAAAGCAAAAGCCCATCTTCCCAAGACCACCTCCCCCTTCTTCTCCAACTCAGCCCAGGGTGCAATTTCCTTTCACCCCTCCCACAGCCTCAGGGAGGACCCCAATCAGCTCCTCAGGGATATCTAAACATCCCCCTCAAACCCCACCCCTGGCAACAGGCCATAAAAGCCTCAGCCTCCCTTTGTTCCAATCCAGAGAATTTCTTATCTTTCCCACTTTTCCAGATTCTCTCCTTGTCCTCAAAGATAATAAAACCCCCTTTCCCTTTTTTCTTCTGCCTGTTTCTCTGCTGCGCCCACCGCCTGAAAAAACCTATCACTACAGAAATGAGAACACAAGAGGAAACACTTTTTGATGTGAGAGGTGGCAGAACTTCAGAGAAATTTTCAAGAAAGACGTAGCTTAGTGCTTGCAGCATGCCGTCCCTGGGCTTGGGAACGTGTCACAGAAGCAATGCCCTGGACCGGATGAGCCAGCATTCTGCAGTGAGGCTGAGCTATCCCTCCAGGTCACTCTGATGCTTGCTTAGGTCTGGAACTGCTGCCTTGGCCTAGAGGCCAGGCTGAGCACTGAGAGAGAGGTCATTAACTCAGAGGAACAATGCTGCAAATTGGAAAGCTGGCCCCAAAGCACCCCAACCATCACTTACAGTCTATCCCTGTTTTCTCCTGTGCATCAGAACTGAGCAAAGTTTAAGCACCTGTCCTAACATCCTGAGCCAGAATGAGGAGAGGCAGTGACAGGCCCAGGGTCTGAGGCCTCACCCTCCGCCAAACAGAAGCATTACCCAGCCATGTGCTGGCCTGAGGACTCGGGCCACTGGGTCACTGCCCAAAGCACCGACTTGGCACCAGCAGAAGAGCTCTGCAAGACAGGCTCACCTTTCCTGCTGCTAACGGGGGAGGAGCTGGGTTGTTTACCACAGAAAGGGACAGCGCTGGAAATATCCACACAGCGTGCAGAGACACACAGTGAATCTGGGAACCAGAATGCTCTCCAGAAAGAGAGGTGCCAGGAGAGAGCTCTTCACATGCAGCCCACAGAGCTATCCATACTATCTCACATCAGGGCCCTTGTTCAGTCTTTGGGCTTCTAAGAGACACCGCAAAAGGCAGACAGGCACCAAGGCCGCCAAGAGGTCTCATAACAGCCCCTGCCAGCACAGCAGACCCCAAAACCAACAAGAAGCCAGGCAGAAGAGTCACACAGAAGTAGCGAGTTGCTATGAAAGAGATGTGATTTTGGGTTTAGTCTACAAATGGTCTTCACCATCTAACAACTGCCTGCTTTCCACCATGTACTGAAAGGGAACTGTCAGTGTTCCCAAAGAAAATGAGAAGGCTGTGCCTTTCTATTATCTGTTTCTTCACAGTGTCTCTATGATGTGAATCAATATGGGGAATCACCACACCATGGCCAGCCTAGACTACTTTATTTCACTGGCTAAATGCCCCAGGACTATAGCTTTCCAGCAGGCAGCCCCAGTAACCCTAAGTCCCATTGCATGAAAGCACATGGAGTCCCACGTGCTCCACCAAAGTTAGGGTCCCAAGACACTGCCCACCATGCCAGGGTGACCCAGGAACGCACCAGCAGGCTAAGATGCAGAGGCCCGTGAAGAGGACAATGGGGACAGGATAGGAGGCACAGAGCAGCCCGTGGCTGTAGAAGGCCTGAGAAATCTTCTCCCGCAGCCGTTCAGTCAGGGTCATCCTCAGCTGAAGTCACGTTGCTGCCATCCCGGGAAGTGACCATGGATCAGCCTGGTGGGCGCTGGGCACCAATGACACAGGACACCATCTGCAGGTATCTGGCTAGAAAAGATAAAAACCATTAATAAAGAATTCTTGGTCTTGCACACTCCGGTTGCTGGAGGAGGGGCAGGAATGAGGGCAGCTTGACACCACATGTGTGCACAGGCACACACATACCTGTGGTCACCTGTCAAGTGACAGTCTAACTAAAGAAGCCGAGAAGCCTCTACTGCAGCAGTTTTATAAACTCAGCTTCTTCAGAAACCAGCATTTTTACAAGGGGATTGCTATGGTTTGTGTCTGGTTGTCTCCCCAAAGCCTCATGCAATCATGAGGTGGCTTCTAGAGTTTGTGATTAACTAATGATTCAATGCTGGGATGCTGGGACTCTGGGTGTGGATGCTGCACCCACCCTAGGGCAGATGACCTGCATCACAACATAAGGAGGGGAGGGAGGCTTGCTTGCTGCCTCAGCTCCTGCCCCTCCCTTTGCTCTTTGCTGTTTTCCACTACCATGAACTGCTGCCCTCTGTCATGTGCTACTCTGCCTTGGAGCCAGCTGAGTGTTTACTGAAACCACGAACTGTGAGCTAGTTAAGCCTTTCCTTCCTTAATTTTGGGTGTCAGGTATTTTGTCTCAGCAACAAGAGAAAAGTAGCCGAGATAGGCATCTTTCTCACACTTGGCACAGGAAAGCCACACACACAACAGAATCACCATCAGCTGATCTCTGACTAGCTGGACATGGTCTTCGGACACGGTCCTCTCTGCACAGACTGAGGGAAATCACGGGAATAATCACTGAAAGAGATGGGCCCCAAAACACATTCATGTGGCCTCTGATAAAGAACATGCTGTGGGTCAGCACTCAACACAAAACCTTCAGAAAGCTCAGCCCCCAACATTAAGAGTCACCAGATGGAATTCCCTCCGGTGCAGTGTCACGTCGCAGCTTTTGCTCCTAGCTCTGCAGGTGTCCTGGGACCATGAGGGCAGGGGCCCCGCCTGCCCCCGCCTGCCCAGCAGCCCTTGGAGTGACAGCAGCCCACTGTGGCTCAGAGTGACCCACTTCCTCATGGACTCAGTATCGGTCAGGCCCTGCTCCCTTTACCACAGCACAGCAGCTGGGCCTCCCCCCAGACTTTGCCCTGTGAGCAGAGGAAAGGAGGACTGGATGATACTGGTGGCACCTGCTCATGCCCAAGGGCTTCCTGCTTGCAAGACCCCTGGGCTGTGCTGGCCCCGGTCCTCTCTCAGGACTGGCTCATCAACTTTCCTTTCCAGACTAAGTCTTCCTATATCCTTCTAATAAATCCCTTTTCCCCATGCTAGCCAAAGTTAGTTTCTGTTGCTGGCAACCAAAACATATTAAACCAACAAAACCAAACTGAAAACTATAGTAGAAGACCTATGGATCTAGAATTCTCTTCCTAACTGAGCTCTCTAATCAAGTTGTTTAAGTCTACCTCTATTCCATGTTGCTGCTTCTTTGGTTTGTGCTGTAGGGAACCTACCCAGACATGTGTCTTGGCTTGGTTATCCTCCTTGATGAAAACTCAGACTGAGAAATGATTCCAAAGTGTCAAGACCAGAACTAAGAAGCAAAAGAAGTCAGCCATGACTAATTCACAAGCAAAAGAATATGTCTCATTCCCTCCACCTTTATGGAAGCACCAGCTGGAAGTATACTCGCCACGTTCATCTGGGAACCTCCTACAGAAATACAAACAAGTCTTGTGGATCCACTCAACAGACAAAGAGTAGAGCAGACAGCTGCGGGTCAGGGCAGCAGAGGTGCTCGCAACAGCTCTGCTAGTCGCAGGGCTCATCAGGACTATGACAAGCAGAAGAGGCCTCGAGCCACAGAGCCCCTACAGTGCTCAGCATGGAACTTCCTGTTCCTATACCTGCCACACTCCCTCTTAGCTCCCCAGAGGACAATAAACATGCTGGACCTGTGCATCTGAAGAGACAAACTACTGGGACCCTGCGGACAGGCAACCAGGAACCAGCTCCAACTTCCTCCAAGCCTCACACATCTTCCCTTAAATGTCGCTCTACAGCATGCTCTCCACAAATTCTGATCTTACGGTCCCAACCCCCTCCCAGACTTCTATACATGTTGGCCACAAGGAGAGGGCCAGCCCAGCTCTTCACTTAGACCTGTTTGCAGGAAGCCAAAGCTATCTAATCCATGTCCACCATACAGCCAACACAAACCTGACTTCTGCTGGGGTTTTTTTTTGTCTTTTTGAGACAGGATCTCACTATGCATTTCAGCCTGGCCTTGAGTTCACTTTGTAGCCCAGGCTAGTCTCAAACTCACAGTAATCCTCCTGCCTCAGTGTCCCAAGTGCTGGGATTATAGGACTGCGCCACTACACCCAGCTTTGCTGATTTTTAGCTGTTGATTTTCATAGTTGCTGGGGCATACATACAAATTCTGGTTCACTACAATCAGGTCAATCAGGCCATCGACCTGAACCCAGCAGGAAAAGATAACTACTCATCTCTGTTCCACAGTATACATTTTAATGCAGAGCTCCCCCAAAGCAAAATTTACCCAACCTGCATGAAAAAACTTTTTCTTCTATTGTCCCACACTTATCAGTTGCTTCAGATCAAAATCTACAGCTCTGTTTCCTGAATGTCTTGTCCTGGAGGCTTAACTGGACCAATTACATAAACACTTAAGCAATCCTGCCTTGGCTATTGCGGAAGAACCCACTATAAGCAAAAACAAAGACGCTTGCTATCAGAGACCCAAATGATAGTGGTAGAAGCAAGGAACAAACACTGCTAGACAGGGACAGACAGCCCTGAGGAAGCCCACAAGAGGACAAGCCCAAGTCAAGCCACACTGAAGACATGCGGGAGGTGACAGGTGGGAGGCAGGGAATGGGCGTGAGCCCCTTTGGGAAGGCAGACGCAGCCTGCCTTGCCCCAGGCCAGGCCAGGCCACCCAGGTCCCTCAGCTCATCCCAAATGAAAGGGCAGATCTAGGGATCTGAGGAAACCCATACACATACACACTATAAATAAATAAAATGAAATGAAATGAAAGAAAAAGAAATGATAGCCAGGTGTGCCTATAGTCACCAAATTCTCAGGAATTAATATAGCTCTTTTCAACCAACTCACACATAAAAAGAATGAAGAGCGCCTGGGAGAAGACTTCCCTGTTTTAGGTCCCGTGTGTGTTGTTCAATTCCCAGCAAGGAAGGAGGGAACAAAGGAATGAACAGGAGGGAGTGATGAAGGGAAGTAGGGAAGGAGGGAGTGGAGGGAGAGAGGGAGGCAGGGAATGAATCAACCAAGAAAAATAAAGGTGCTAAAAGCCTGAAGGAGGTAAAGAATATGGGTGAAGGATGGGGAGATACAAAACCTATGTATACCTCCAGGTACAGTATGTGGGAGCACACACTGAAACACAATTGCCAATCGCAAGTTGGAGCCCAGCCTGAGCACCATAGTGAGACCCTGACTCACAATTTTTTTTCTTGAAGGGCCTGGGATATAGTCCCATGCAAAGGCCTAGGTTCAGTTCATAGTACCAAAGCGAGGAGAGGGGGGCACACACACCAACAGCAGGCTCTGTTCCAAGGGTCAGTTCCTGAAAATTCTAAGCATTCCCAGAACCTTGGGCCTATTATGCTTGTCCTGAGCACACTGTTTACTGATCGTTTCATTTCTCTGGAACAATGCTTAGAGGTGTACTTGCTGATGGGGGTGTCTTAAGTGGTCTGAAAAACTGCCAGAATATCCTGCAGTGTCCACACCGTTTCATACCCCCATTGACAGCATAGGAGAGATCTGAAGTCTTCACTTTTTCAGCAGTATCTCACAGGGCCATTTTAAAAAAAGTTTAACTGTGCTAATTGGTATGCATTGATGTTTTAAAAAATTGTTTATTTACTATTTGTTACAGGGTCTCACTATGCACTCACACTCATAATGATCCTCCTGTCTCAGCCTCCCCAGTGCTGGGATTACAGGCATGCACCACCACGCCCATAGTTCTGTGGCCAGCATGGCACGCAGTACTAGGAATTGAACCCGGGTCCTTGCACTTGCCAGGCAGGTGCTTAGACCACCGAGATATCTCCCCAGCTCTGTAGTGATATTTAATTGGGTATTAATTTACATTTCCCTCATGGCTAGTGACGTTAATCATTTTGTTCATGTGTTTAATCTGCTGTCCATATCTTTTTCCATCAAATGTTCTTTCATTTCCTTTGACCATGTTCTAATAGGATTTTTAAAACTATAAGATATTTTTAAACAAATTAATTAAAGTACAATTCACAAAGCACAGAAATCACTGTTTTAGGATATCTGTGAAATGACAAAACCATTTCTACTAACTCCAGAACGTTTCCACTACCCCTGAAGAAATACCATACCCATTTGTAATCACTCCCCATTCCCTCTGCCATCTACCCGTGGCACCAACTAATTTTTTAGTTTCGATGGATTTGTTTACTGTAGACATTACATATAAATGGACTCACATAATGTGTCTTTGTGAATGGCTTCTGGCCCTTAGAACAGGACTCCACCAAGCCGTAGCAGGTGTCAATACATCATTCCTTTTCATGGCTGATTAACATTTCATTAAATGGATGTCATATTTTGCTTACTCATCAGTTAACAGGCAACTGGATGACTTCCACTTTTTGGCTACTGTGAACAGTGTCCTTATTAGGAACACTGTACAAGTTTTTGGTTCAACATCTGTTCTCAATTCTTTTGAATATATTATTATGAGTGAAATTTCATGGTCATAATGTAATAGTAATTTCCTCCAAAGTTTTCTCTAAAATTTGTGTAGTATTACATTTAAATCTATGATCCACTTGAGTTAATTTTTACATAAACTGTAAAGTGATAAGTAGGTTCCATTTTATAAAAAATATTTATTTATTTGGTACGGGGTCTCACTGTGCAGATCAGACTCATAGTGATCCTCCTGTCTCACCTCCCCAGCGCTGGGATTATAGATGTGCACCACCATCCCCAGTTTTGGTGGCTGGTACCATGTGCCCAGGGTTCTGGCACAA